CTACTCGTTTGGCATTGGCCCGTCGTCTGACACGGAGCTTAAAGGGCTTAATAAAAAAGTCAGAACTTTGCTGAACGTGTGGAATAAGCATCACCCAAGAGCCACGAAGGAGAGAATACACATCCCCCGCAAGCAGGGAGGAAGAGGCATCCTTGATGTGAAGACGGTCTGCCACAATCAAGTCCATAGCCTGCGAAATTACTTCCTCAGTAGAAACGACAGCTCTTTGCGCGCTGCAGTAAATGCCTTAGACAAAACCTACTCGCCTTTGCGCCTCGCTTGTCACGATCTGAATGAAGAACAACCCACAGACCCAGTTGCTGACCAATTAGAAGCCTGGACCTCCAAGCCGCTGCACGGATGCTTTCATAATTCAGTTGCGCAGGATCATGTTGATGAAGGAATGTCTTTCTTGCGGCAATCAAAAGGGCAGCTGTATCCAGAAACGGAAGGATTTGTCCTCGCAATACAAGACCAAGTGATCAGTACCAGGAATTACAAGAGGTATACACTGAAAGAGAAGATCGAGAGTGATAAGTGTAGGAAGTGTCAGCACTGCATCAGAGATAATAGATCACATTACATCTAGTTGCGCATTGCTTGCAGGGAAGGAGTATACCGAGCGGCATAACAACATGGCTAAAATTATACATCTAGCGCTGGCCAAGGATCGAGAACTATGTGATATTGCGGAACCTTACAACAAATATCGCCCTGCCACAGTCCTGGAAAATCAATGCTTCCGGCTCTATTGGGACAACCCGATCTTAACCGATAAAACCATAATGGCTGACAGGCCGGGCATAGTGCTTGTTGATAAACTAGATCGTACCGCTTACATCATCGATATTAGCATCCCTTGACGGAAGTAATAATGCAATTAATTCACGCCAATCGCGCACCTATGTGCTGCAATGCAAACGCAGCGTTTTAGAGCCGCATCCAACGGACATCAGTGCGCAGTTAGTCAGTTGAGTCTAGCATGCCAAGCCATCTCCGATAAAGATGTATTTCCCGAATAAATTTCATAATCATGATCAACTTTAACTCGGTATTTATTAAACAAACCACGACATCCCTAATAATCATAACTTGCAGCTGAAGTATGAAGAAAAGATGGCAAAATACATGCCCTTAGCTGCGGAACTGAAGCGATTGCGGAACCTGAACATTGTTTGCATCAAGCCCCTTATAATGTCAGTAACGGGGATAGTTCCAAAAGTTTAAGTTACACATATTCGAGACCCTGGAATAGAGAGTTGCCTGCTTCATTCAATGCAATAGTCCGTCGTCATAAGCACGTCAAGTATTTTCAGGTCGTTTCTTACTATCGATTAATTTTTTTATTTTACTTTAAACTTTTTTCGTAAATTTTACTTTAAAACAAAATTTACTTTTCACTCAAGCAAGATAGTGTGTATTTCTGTCTTTGGCATCTGGTCTGTCAGTGACACTTATACTGGAAGTGTTACCTCTTCCAAGAAAAAAAAAAATGTGGTACACTTATAATTATTATTTTTTCACACTGGGGAGCAGGATAAGCCCCCTAAGCAAGGTTTTATTTCAGCATCCCTCCATTTTCCCGGAATAGTCTAATTTTCCCTTGAGAACAGCCGTATATTTGAGCCCTTTCTTTACCCTCAGGACTATTTAAGTCTCTCCAACCTTCTCCGCGTTATTGGCGAGAAATCGCGGTGAAACGGTCATTTGCGCGGGAAGTTTTTTTTTTCTTTGAAAGCGGGGAGAAAACCGAGTTCTGGCAACAATTCGACAGTCGTAATCAACTGACAGGGGGATCGAGAGGGTCACCCGCACCCAGGAGATTGAGGCTAGCTCAATGCTCAGCAGCGCGCGAATAAGTTCAGACCCCGACCCGAAACCTCTCCCCCCTCCCCCCGTCATAAGGACTAGTGATTCTCCCGACGAGACATCCCGACCAGATGAGGCAGGCCCTCACCGTTCCTCTCGCGGGTATCGAAAGCGTCGGTGAACATACCACCCAAAAAACCCATGCTGTCAGGAAATTGAGCATCAAGGCTACCATTACTGGCGTGTGGTGCGCCCTGGACGGATCCATGCCGAGCAAACGCCTCCACCTGGCGACAAACCGTCCCAGACGCACCATTACTGACAGATGTTGGCATACCTGTCAGGATCTCAAGAGTGACTGGCCAACGTAACGAGGCGTTATTCAGCCAGCTCGGGTGCGTGGATTCGTCAAACCGCGGGAAGTTGAGATATTTTGATACTTTAAGGCTCCCCATTTTGGGGTTACCGCGGTCCATGGCCACAGTCACTCACATCTTTTCACACCTCTTCCGAAACGCACGAGCTTTCAGATTGGTTATTGGGAGTTATGTTCAAAAATCAAACCTTTTCGAGAAAAAATGGGGAAATTCGCGGAAAAGTCGGCAGTTTGAGCAATTCTGAAGGGGTTAGGGGGTTTTCCCTCCACCACGATAGAATTCGGGTAAACAAAACAATTCATTTAACTAGTCAAGAGCTTCAAGAAAATCTTCATCTTCAGAATTCGTACGCAGGGGAGGGTTACTCCTTGCTTGCCCATGGCCTATGAGGAGTACGCAGCGGACTTCCCTCTCCCCCTCTAATATTATTTATGTATGAGCATTTCATTCACACCGCTTTTTTCACTACAACTTTTTTGACAGAAAATGTTTTGATATCTGTCGCCGTTTTCGAGATATTTTGAAAAACCCCGATTTTGGCAGCCATTTTCCTAGATGGTGGTCCAAAAGGGGGTATTCAGGGGCAGCGCGGGTAGCTGTCAGTGGTCTCTGAATCAGGAGGGCCTGGCGGTCATTTCAAGACTAAAATCACGTTGGTAGCCGGAAACCGCATATCATCGTGCATTTTTTGGCTAAGCGAACGCACTATAAAGATGACTTAAATACCTTGAAAATGACATGACCTTCATCCACTTCTGGCTATTTTGGGATGTTTCTGACTTTTTGTATTTTAGAGTATTTTTGGCTACTATACAAGGGCCTTTTTTGAGTTTTTTAGTCCGTCAGGGTCAGTCCATTTAAGATTTCATTTTCAGAATCAGACTTTCACAGCAGTTGGAAGTCAGTAAGTGACTTGTATATGATATTTTTTGGGACCTTTGAACCCCTCAGAATAATTATTGGACAGTGGCATAGCTCTTTTTGGCACCATTTTTTTTATTTCTTGTGATTTTTAAGAGTTTTTGAAAAAACTCATCATTACCGTAACCTATTTATTTTGTTAGTCCAGCACACGCAAAAGAAGTGGAAACTGATCTTTTTTATTTTTTTTGTTTACTTTAAAGTCTGATAGTTCAAAATAAATACAAATATTTGGATAAGTTATGATTAAAACTTTTATTTAAACAAATTTCGATGTCAAATTCGGAATTTTTTGTTTTTTTGGGGTTCTAAATTGCCCTACATTTGAGAGAAAAGGATGAGATTGCATGTAAAGACTTTTCTATAAAGAGCTAAACTTATATTTTGTAATTTCCCCCTAAATTGTAAAGAGCCGTATGCAAAAACGACATTTTTCGCCCCCCCACTAAAACTTCTTCAAACTTCGTCTATCAGTTACTAATACTGGAGCGCTTCTTTCCCCAAATTTTCAGACCCCCAAAAAATTTTGGGGGGGCGCTAGAGGGGGTGGAAGTCAAAACCTGGGACCCTCGATATCTTTCGAACGAAACAAGATATTGAGGCCCAGTTTGGACGAAAAATCGTCTAAAATTGCAAACTTTAAGGTTCTAAAGGTCAAAATCCCAAAATTAAATTTTTAACTTAACTTATGGGCTTTTTTTCAGTTTTTGAGGAAAAACAATTTCTTTTAAACAGATTAAACTGAAATTTCACATTTTTTGATTTGAACCAAAACCAGTTTTTTAAATTGTTCGTCTTTTTCCGCATCCAACGAGTGGTCGTATAAGCTGGGGAACCGAACGGTTCCGGAGTTATGATCGATTGAAGTTTCCGCTCAACGCGCGCCGACCGATTTTCGCGCGCAAAAAAGTCGGATTTGACTGTTATTAAATCAGATTTAATGTTCAAACTGAGCAAAATGCATTATTAGGGACTCTTGAGGGTCGCCGAGTCCAGAAATTACAGATACTTCCAAAAAATTCACGTTTTTAAAATTACAGCTCCGTACAGGACCACTGAGCGGCCGGTCGGCGCTCAGTGGGCCTCTAAAATAGCGCTACGGAGCTGTAATTTTAAAAACGTGAATTTTTTGGAAGTATCTGTAATTTCTGGACTCGGCGACCCTCAAGAGTCCCTAATAATGCATTTTGCTCAGTTTGAACATTAAATCTGATTTAATAACAGTCAAATCCGACTTTTTTGCGCGCGAAAATCGGTCGGCGCGCGTTGAGCGGAAACTTCAATCGATCATAACTCCGGAACCGTTCGGTTCCCCAGCTTATACGACCACTCGTTGGATGCGGAAAAAGACGAACAATTTAAAAAACTGGTTTTGGTTCAAATCAAAAAATGTGAAATTTCAGTTTAATCTGTTTAAAAGAAATTGTTTTTCCTCAAAAACTGAAAAAAAGCCCATAAGTTAAGTTAAAAATTTAATTTTGGGATTTTGACCTTTAGAATCTTAAAGTTTGCAATTTTAGACGATTTTTCGTCCAAACTGGGCCTCAATATCTTGTTTCGTTCGAAAGATATCGAGGGTCCCAGGTTTTGACTTCCACCCCCCCTAGCGCCCCCCCAAAATTTTTTGGGGGTCTGAAAATTTGGGGAAAGAAGCGCTCCAGTATTAGTAACTGATAGACGAAGTTTGAAGAAGTTTTAGTGGGGGGGCGAAAAATGTCATTTTTGCATACGGCTCTTTACAGCTTTTTTTCCAATTTTTTTTCAAGAAAAATAAGCCGGTTACGGTAATGATAAATAGTAGCGGTAATGACTGTAAGTATACGGTAATGATTTATTGTTATGCATGACGGCCTTATGGGGTAGGATCTCAAGGCTGAAGGAAAAAAGCACTGATTTCTAAAGAAACATTGTATTAAAGCAGTACAAAAATTCGAAAAAATGACCAAACCAAATCATTTGAAGTAAATAAATCGTCAAAGAAATGGTAGACATCAACCAATTTCACATTAAATGTGTATCTCTAATGAGATCACTAAACAAAATAATTATAATAGAGGAAAAATAGGACTTTATTTAACCACCTATATGCAAAAGAGAAAATTTCTTTGAGAAGAAATGTAGGTAACGTGAACAAAAATATCTCTAGTGAGATCTTCAAACAAAATAATCATAATTATTAGTCAAGAGAAAATAGAACTTTTAACTTGCAAAACTAGCAATAAATAGTATAAGACTATCTCGGATCGTATTGATGTACTTTCTGGGCAGGACGCGACGGTATTGCTGGTGGTATCTGATGGGCCATTTTCTTGTACTGATTTAAACTGACTGACTTTCAGTTTTTTTTGTAAGTTCTGAAACCATTTCTCGTATGGGGTTGACATTTTTCTTCAATTAAAACGTCTGTGGACAAGGAAAAGACAGAGATATATTTCAAGGTAATCTCAAGCAACTGAAATTATTCCTAAAAAACTATAAAAGGCCGCTATAGATTCATTAAAAAAGATAGTTGGTCATAACCGAAACTCTTGCATCATTACCGTACACCCTAGACGGTCTGGGTGGAAGTTACGGTAATGATAGTTACGGTTACGGTAATGATAGTTACGGTTACGGTAATGATGGTTACGGTAATGAGAAACATTCAAATTTCGCGCCAAAGGGAGACATGGGCTTGTTGTAGGAAGGTGAGATTTAATATTTGAGGTTGGTTTAATGCCATGCGTTCATAAATGAAGTAGGTTTGATGATATCTTCAATCCTTGGTGGATTTTTATATGGTAACGATAATGGCAGCTGAGAGTTGGACAAAACTCAATTCATCACTGTAAATTGAACGAATGTTACTTTATGATGGAGTAAAAAATAGAGAGCTACTCACCATGGGTCCTACTTCCAACACAAACATCAACGAATGTAAGTTCGAGCTGGTGCTGTCGCCTAGCAGCCGAAGTTTGCTCCAGAACAAGGGGTTACGGTAATGACACCAAATCCAGTAACAAGCACAAGATGCCAATTTTTTCGAAAACTTAGAGGAAAATGTAGCTCTAAAAAGAAAGAATTATCAATTCAAAGTATGCTGAAGCCATATTTGATTTCAGAAGCCCGTGACTTTGTATATATTTGCTTGAATTCAGCGATAAAGTTGAGACTTTCGACAGGTAACAGGCTACGGTAATGACAAATTCAGCATTTCAGATCAAATTTGAGCTATAAAAAAAGAAAATTCCTGCAATTTAAGCACGGATTCGGATTCAGCGAAAAATTTTCATGAGGAATGATGTACAAAACACCATGCCACTGGTTTGGTTTTGTGAAAAAAGTAGCGGTAACAGCAAAATAAAATCTTAAACGGACTGACCCATCAGGGTGTCATTGCAGAAATCGTTGATGGCATTTACAGGCAGCCTTTGATGTGGTCATCGGGACACCAAATTTTACTTGATTTTGCTTTTTCTCTGTCATCTTTGAGTCTTTCTCAAAGAACTTACTAACGGAAAATTACTATTTTATTTTCATTGCGCAGGTGAGTCCTCGGAAGGTCTTGAGAGCTGCCTTTGGGATTCGAGCATTGAGTTCTGCGTACATTCAAAGGGTATTTGTAAAAACCGAAATGACACTAAAGAGCCGAGCAGTCATCACAGGTTCAAGGCAGCTATTACGGTCAAGATCCAGTGAAAATCTCCCCACAAGTCAGTCTCAAGTAAACATTCAAATGCTGTCACACACATTAACGATCAAGGAGGTAATTTATAATTGGAAGTGTTCATTTAATGTTTAATTTCTAACTTTTGTCCCCTTTTGCATTCGTTTCAAATTTAATACTTTCACTAATGTTTCTGCTGAAGATGAAGGTTGTTCCAGCACTTCTTTTAGCCTTAGAAGTTGAGCTAAGAAAATCTCGGAGTGTCAGGCGGTTTGGAAGACTGAAGGGTTGGGGAATATAGAGCAACCGAGAAATATCAGGGAAAGGCAGGGAATTCAATGAGCCAATTAAGGTAGTTTGTGAGCGGTGTCTAGGAAAAGTCAGTGCAATTTTGCGGGGAAAAATCAAAGTAGAAGTTTTGTTCAAAAGTTAGAGGAAGTAAAAAAATTCGAAAATGTTGGTGTCAAGGAAAAGCAAAAAAAGTAAGGGAAAGTCAGGGAAACAGTCAATGAAGGAATAATGGAAACCCAGAATCCTTAAAAATGTGAGATTTTTCTGATGTATCTTTATAATTGATACAAAGTCAAAGTGAATAATAAATAACAGAATACTGCCATTCAAAGTAGTGCTTATGGCATAATCTTCCAAGATAAATAAGAGTTAATGGGGAAGTAAAATGGAAGTGGATCTTCCAGAGCACTAACTTGCACCCATTAGGGCAGTATGATTTTGCGCAATATATTTTTTTCTGCTCAGTCGCTTCCTTGATTATTCTGTTCCACCAGCAAGAGCCCATGATGAACAGAGCGCACCTAAAAAGCCAGTCGTAATTTATTTTGCTTCATGTATTTATGTTGGGTGATAAATGTTGGTGATGGTTTAAATTTTCTTATAGGGGCCATCGCCAAGAAGTCTTAAGATGCGGCTACAAACGTGTCCTGGTACTTTAAGTCCTTTGGTATGTTGGAGATTTAGTCAAATTGTGCCGTTTTTCATTGATCGTGACTCTTTTAACAGCTTTAACTCGATCTTCATTCATTTGCTTTTCAACTAAGTCTCCTAAAAAATACCCTGGCGTTAGCCAGTACCCACGGCTAAATTTTGGCTCATCGATAACTCCATTTTACATTTAATAGTTTTGAATGACAGCTTTAAACCGAAGTTGCACAAGACATAATCCTCTTAAATACCATACAGAATTGGTGTTTCCTTTTACTGCTGCTCATCCTAGCTAGTCTGTTTTTCTTTGCTCTGTTAGCCCTAGTCCTCAAAAGTTTTTTTTACGAACCTTCCAAGTTGGATTTTCGGCCTGTATTTGAAGAACACAGCTGTCTGCTAATTTTAAGATTATTCCTGTGAATAATGAGTGAGAAGATAGAACTTGCAATTGGGCCTCCTAGACCTGTGACAAGAGGACTGGGGTTAAATTTTTCTTTAAATACTCTCCATGTCAAGAGTTTACAAAATGGACAAATTTTTGTCCACAAATTCTTAATCCTTTTTCTTCATTTATTGTTGCTTATTAAGATTTCGCTTTTTGTACAAAATTGAAGATTGAATTGTGGACTTGACACCTAACTTATGAAGCAGAAAGGGAGGAAGGAAGAAAAAAGATGGGAAGAAAGAGGAAGTCGCTAAAGTGCTTAACACTGTAACTATGAATAACTTAAAACTAATTATCTACATTTCCAGCTAATTTTGTTTTTGAAATTGAGATATTCTCATATCAGAGTAGAAAAAGGGCAATAGAGCTTTGAAAAGGCCGGAATATCAGTTCACTTTCTCAGAGTCTCAAGTGGCAAGCTTATGAGGCTTTCTTCTCTTAAGACGTCTGGTCTCCCTCAGCCAATCTAGCAGCCTTACAGCTTCTGTATTGGGATGAGAGCCCAGTATCCCATCATTGAAAAAGTAATTTTGGAGCAAAAAAAATAATACACCCTCTGAAATGATTTTGTTAATAAGACCCTTGTTATGAGCTGCAAACTGGTACCGATGCACAACTTCTGCACACTTATTATTTTACCGTTAGGGTTATTATTTTTGAAAATAGTGGATCTTTGGACCCTCGAGAGAGGATTTTCCATCTTAGAAACCCTCTGCAACATCTAAATGTTGCAATCATTATCACTCTTTTACGATAATGGTAGTATGGTGAAAACTTGAGATGTTGTAGGTGTTGATATTGTTGTTTATGATGCTGTTTTTTATTCTTAATTTCTTTTTCTTCGGCTTCAATAGTTTTTGAGAGGAACAAACGCTAATTTTACCCAAAAATCCTTTCTAATTTCATTCAGAGAAAGTCATCCTTTTTCTTGTCGAAGATCCTCAGTCCTCTTGTGCCAACTTGTCAATATTGTCCTCTTTCAATCATAAAAACTTTAATGGCAATCGGGATTTCTAAACAAAAAACATTTCTGATATCAGAGGGTCTCACCCAATCCGAAAATTTCGCCAAACCTTAGTCGATTGTGCGAGTTTATTTCAATATGTCCTTGTTTTATGGAGTTTGTCATAAGTCGTCACCCAGCAGTCATCCTGTTTTTTGGGATTAATCTAGCATGATTCAACTTTTCGATAGAGGCCACACACCAGTGACACACAACTTTGATAATATTTTGCTCTGATCATATTTTGCTGGGATATTCTTAATTTTTGAGGAAATCAATACTCATTTTCTTTCGTCAATTTCTGTTTAAAGACAACCACTACATAATCTGTGCCTAGGTTGCAGAATTCAAAAATTGGGTTTTTTTTTGTATAACCTAAAAGGCAGCTTGGCGATTCTTCACACAAAATGCTCTTGATTGTTTTATTTATGAAGTCTCCAAAATAAGACTGTACCTCAGGCATTTGATTCGAATGAGCTAAATTTAAAGGTTCTTTAACCCTTACGGCTGTCCCAAAAGTATAAACAAGGGGTCATAACTTTACAAGTTAGGGTTCCAATGGGTCTATTGCTTGCAAAAGATACAGCCAAGTGCAAAAACTTTCTTCTGGTCAAATGGCTCGAAGATCACATCGGGTACTTAAAAGAAGTCTAAGATCCCCATATCAGCGCGCAGTTTATATAGGTTATGGCACGCTTTTTCAAATTAATCGCGTGTGCGGTCAGTTTTTCTCAGTAGCTGCCGGCCGGCAGTCAAGTTTGCTGGTAGAGAGACTAAAAAGAACCTAACTTAAATGAACAATTTTGTAAACTGTTAAAGACTGTCCCTACGTAAGATTTCAATTGATTCAAAGCTTTTGTTTTTGTGAAACAAAGAAAACGGAGGAAAACGATTAAATTTAAGTCCTAGAAAAAGTTAGCGAAATTGTTTGTTTCTTCAGGTTATACTCTCCTACTCCTCCGTCTGTTCAAACCTGGTCGGAAGCAACTGAGAAAAATTGTCCGTAGACGCAAGAACCTTGGAAAAGCTTGTTACAAGCTGCACAGACTCTGTGCTAAGGAGCGGATTTCAGACTTCTGAATGTGTTCGTCGCGATTTACAGGCAATTTTACGTAAAGTCTATTTTCTTGGATTTGTCTCTTGTGTTCGACAGACCGATTCTGCTGAATTTCTCCTTCTAGAATTTGTGAGTCCTCGGCCTTATATTTTGACTCTAGTTACAAACTCAAGAGCTTCTCAGAGTTGTTGCTTAGTTATTCAATGCCTCTGAAGATTAATTGCAACGGCAATGTTAAAGAAAAATGTTGCAACTGCTATATTCCAGAAAATTAAAATGGTGTATTTAATCATGTTCTTTGAATTATTATTTTCACATGAAATAATCAATAGAGTAAGGTTGGTCAGTTGCAATGTTGGCAATACACAGGATATCGAATGTCTCTGCAGGGATTATAATTTTTGAGTTGGTGATGCCCTCATTGAAAGCGCTTTTCTTTTTCTCTTTTTCAAGTGTGGGAGGAAAAGAGGAGTGAAATTGGACAAGAACGTAAGATCGTTTTTATGATTTTCTCAGTTTGGTGTTTTGTAAAATTGATCCGTTCATATTTTAACCAAAACATGTAGATTTTGCAGGCATGTAAGTTTTTTGCTATGTTATGTGCGCAAGAACTCAATAACTCACCTATCCTTCAAGACCTTTGATTTTATGCAAGGAATTTTTCTTAGGAGCTTTGTTTTTCATTACATTACTTGAGAGAGTCTCAGAAAATGTCTACATCACTCAGTTTTGAAAAATAGAGAGAAAAAAACAATAAAAAGCGAGCAAGCTTTCAACACTTTGTAGACACCTCAGAACGACTTTTCAACTATTGCAATTGTAGGCAGGCTTAACTTAACTCTTGTAAATATCCCATGCTTTCATAAAATACTAGTCATTTCCACGCCAGGATTTTTGTCGACTCATTTGGGGGGTCATGTCATTCAAGGGCGTGTCACCCCTTTACAATTTTTCATTGGAAATTCATCCAGCAATGAATTTACATACTTTTCCTGACTTAAACAGATCTCATCGTTGCTTCGGGAGAACTGAATTGATAAGGAACAGCCCATTGGACCGGGGTCTTCCATTTTTACAATGTTTTGCAACTCAACTAAAAAACTTTTTACTGCTTTATGAAGACCTGCTAACAAGAAATCATCAACATAAACTCCTGTAATGAGGTTATTTCGTACAAAAATACAAGGGTCACTGATGCAGTGCTGAAAACCTGGACTCTCGAGTTTCTCTTTCAAGAAAGTATACCAGTTTTTACCTGCTTTTTTAGGGCAGTTAACACTTTTCTTCAATAGGCAGACAAATGCCTCTCAGTCAATGCCAGAATCTTCGGATCGTTCTAAATAAATCCCTTCTTCTAAATTACTATGAAGATATGCACTTACAACATCAACATGATGCAATTCTCAGTGGTTAAGAGCAGCAATACAGGTTATTGCCCTAATCGACTTCTTTTCTACGACAGGGTTAGAAACATCAAAATAATCCAAACACCACACTTTTGCCCAAAACCCTCAGCAACCAATCTCGCTTTGTACTTCATAACTCCGTCACATGCATCGGTTTTTGTGTCAGACACCCACTTAAAACCTAAAATTCTTACTTGCGGAGGTCCTTGACAACAGTCCAAACACTCTGTTCCTCGATGTTCTGTAGCTCCTCCTCGATTGCCTCTCGCCAGTACTTTGAGTCAGGGCCACCGAGAACTTCGGAGTGATTGAGGGGCTTGATCGTTCCTCTAGGGCGCTGGAAGAACAGGAACATGGCTGCTTGGCAACGCGTATACGATCAGATCGTCGTGATCTTCTGCAACGTGCTCTCCTATGGCGACAGGTGCTTCTATCACTGGAGGCTCTGGAGGGATGGCTACTTCTTGGTTTTCACCCATTGGTGGTGGTGGTGGTGGGGGAGTGTAAAGTGCGGATTCGCCGTTTGCAGTCTCTATATCGTTCTCTTTCTCCTCTCTACTAGAAGGTTGGCTTTTTCGGTGGAATCCCTTGGCGCTCGTTTATACAGGAAGACTCCTTCTTCAAAGTTGACATCACGGCTGACAACAAACTTCTTCTGCGTCAAATCCAAAATGCGGTAGGCTTTCATTTCTTCCAGATAACCCAACATGACTGCTTCCCGGGTGCTGAAATTCTGTTTGTCACCTCAAAAAGTATCACCTCAACTATCATTCTGTTGGGGGGTGCAAGCAACACAATTTTTTGAGAGAATACCGTTCCTCTCAAAATGAAGCTTGAACTGAGCACTCTCATACACACCTTCTTGGTCTGACTGGAACTCCTTGATTTTCACACCTTGCATAGCATCGACCTTCTGCTGGTACTTAAGACATTCAACAAACATGTTGCTCTTCTTCTTTATTGAGACATCAGTGACATAGTCAGAGAAATTGTCAGTGAACGTTACAAAATACTTAGATCCACTCATTGATTGACAAGCCATTGGCCCAACAACCTCAGAATAGACCCTCTGGAGAACACTGTCGACCTTGTTATCTTCATTCTTGGGAAAAGGGTTGCGGTGAAACTTTCCTTGGATGTATGTTGAGTAGAGATATCGCTACTTCTGCCTTGGATGAGGGTTTCAAGGGCTGAATCTTTGAGATGGCTTCTTTGTAGAGGTGCCCTAAACAGTTATGCCACCTGTTCGAAGTGACGCGGTAAGCTTGGTTTCCTGTGAAACTCTCACATTCTGTCTCGATGTCCACAAACGAGTGGCCATGCCTGGTGGTTACTTAGTGAAGCGCGTCAGTGCGGCGAGTTGTAAAAAATACTGCCTCTCCATCAAGAACCTTGCTAATGCCTTGCTTTTTAAAAATAGACATCTATTTTTCGTCTAATTTTCCTTCTGAAATCAAGTCGTCTTGGAGTTCTGGATTGTATAAAACGTCGCTAAAGCTTATATCATAGCCGCCACTCTCACTGAACAAGTGTAGAAGTACAGTTCCCTTCCTTGGAAAGCTAACGGGATTCCATTGCCCACGGTTATCTTGCTCTGGAATGGCTCGTAGGAGGTGAACAGGTCCCTTCGAAGGGTCATGTGATCGGATGCAGCAGAATCCAGTAGCCAGACACCACCATCACCAGATTGTTGAGTTCTCAGGGTACAAAGAGCCTTATACCCTTGCGGCACAATAGACGCTGAACTTTTTTTTTCTTGAGATGACTTTGACTTTTGACTTTTGACTTTGATTGACTTTTTTTTTTTTTTCTCTTTTTTTTTCTCTTTTTTTTTCTCATTTTGTGGACAGTTTAGGAATATGTGACCAGGTTTGGCACACGGAAAACAGACGTACTTCTTTGAATGGGATTCCTCTTCTTTGGAATTTTTGGCTCTGGACTTCTTAAATGGGTGGTTGCGTCTAACGTTTAATGCCTTTAGCCCGGTTGGTGTATCAGTCTCTTCACTTTTCATCCACTTCTCTTCTAAAAGTAATCGAGTGGGCAAATTTTATCGATAGACTTTCCTCATCAGAGCTATAGACACTCCTAACAAACTCGGGGTGCTTGCTTCGCGGGAGGCTTATGAGGTAAAAAGCAACGACCGCTCGGTCAGTAAATTCGAGGCCATCCTTCTTCTTTATCCTCTAGTAGTTCTGAATAGTACTCATGTACGTCATAATTGATTCACGTATTTCTTTTCAGTTTTAACCATATCTTTCAAGAACGGTGTTCTCAGATAGATATCATAGGCAGCGCAATCTCTCTTAGAGCGCTTCCCACATGGACTTGGTATTGTCTTTACCGATAATGTCATCAAGAAAAATATCACTGACATGTTCTACAAGGTGTGGTCATAAAGTTCCCGTAATATTCCCGCTATTTCTTAAAAAATGATTGTATCAAGTTGATCTTAGTCGTTTCGGAAAGCTAAAGACGTCACAAATACGACGGTGTTTTGATTTTTGAGCTAGCTTTATCCGTTTTTTTTACAGCTTTCGTTGAAAGGGGTACATGTTTGTATAGATCTGCGATGAAATATGGAAGTGTAACTCAACTTCATAGCTTGATTTTCGGCAGGAAAAAAGGACGAGTTCAATGGCAATGCTGGTAAGATATGGAGCAGGTATCTTGACAATGTGTCTCATTTGACATTCAACTGATAATGCTGTGTTTTGACCAAGTATAATGCATTTTTGGAGACCCTGTCAGTTTGCATCTTCCAGTGACTCAATTTGGTGTTTCTGTTCATGTCTCAATTATAGTTTTGGCAAAAATGCTTTTGAAAAGTACTTCCACATCCTCCTTATTCACCGAATCCGGCTCCGTGTGATTTCTTCTTGTTTCCAAAAATCAAACGCAGCATGAAAGGCCGGCGTTTGAACACAAAGGGATCCAACGCGAATTGCAGAAGTTGTTTAATTTGTTGACCGAAACCGACTTTCAAGAGGCGTTTCACAAGTGGAGAAAACGTTGGGATCACTCCGTAGACTCTGAAGGACAGTATTTGGGAGGAGACAAATTCGACAGTTAACTCAGTCAGGTAGAAGAATTATTTTAAAACGTAAAGAGTCTCGCCAAAAAGGGGTGTTTTTTAGCCCCTTTTTGGATACCCGAGTTGATCAACCGGACAAGGCTCAAATAGAAGCTTCCAGTAAGGCAAACTTCCATGCAAAGTTTCAACGTGAAGTGACCCCTCGTACAGGCTGTACAGCGTTGCCAATTTTCCATTTTCATGTCCTAATATCGAGGAATTCTGCATCATCATGGTTCATCAGACTAGAACACCCGAGTTGGTCAACGAGACAAGGCTTAAATGAAAGCTTACGGTAAGCCAAACTTCCATGAAAAGTTTCAGCTTGAAGTGACCCCTCGTTTAGGCAGTACAGCGTTGCCAATTTTCCATTTTCATGTGCTATAATCGAGACATTATTGATCATCATGGTTCAACAGACCAGTACATCCGAGTTGGTCAACGGGACAAGGCTCAAATGAAAGCTTATGGCAAGGTTAACTTCCAGGCAAAGTTTCAACTTGAAGTGACACCTCGGTTAGGCTTACAGGTAAGTAATGAACAGAGTGACAAATAGTCTGTACTATTAGGAACGTAAGTGGGAAAAATTTGCCTTACCTACAGAACAGCCCTGAAAATTTCTGGGAAATAAAAGGTGCTATTGTTAACATACCTGTTGATCATCAAAACAGAAAATTCTCGCCCACCGGAAGTACCGGAAACCACTGGTATTTGACTAATTAAAAAGATATGTGCACTGTTGTCGAATAGTGAGCCCTTTACGCGATCAAATGGGGTTAGTGTAAAAGGTATCCCTGGGTAAGGGCACCAAAATGCCTCTCCTCACGGATTTTGAATTTAATGGTCTAAACCCTTTCAGGAGGTCCTAAAAACATGGTTTTGGGCAATTTTACCCTCCTGACCCCCAACCACCCCCCCTCCAGCCCCGAAAAACCCATTTTTCGGGGAATTTTGGGGTATTTTCACGTTTTATTTCATATCTCCCGCAATTTTCGAAAAAAATGCACCAAAATTTCACCAAGTACACATCAGACCAGCCAGATTCTTGGGTAAAAAAATCAAATTTATCGTACCTTATTTAGACCCCTAAAAAAATTCGTAAAAATCGTCAATTTCCAATTTTTTTCAGATTTTAGCGGTTTTAAAAAAAATGAGGACACATACATTTTTTGTTTTTGCCTTGAAATGTAGGTAATATACCCAGTTGTTACCAAAAAAATTTCAAGCCTTCACGCGTGGTGCGTCCCACCGAAAAAATGGCTCTTTTGGCAACGGTTTACTCGCACGCTATCAAGATTGTAACACTAAAATCTCTAATTTTTGGTTTCAATGTTTCAAGAAGCATGCCCCAGTATCGTCAGAAAAGGTTTCAAGTCGATCGAGTCCTTGCGCCCCACGTAAAGTAATGGTTTTTGGCGCCAAAATGGTCAACATCGCTACCTCAGAAGAGGTTACTCGCGTAGGGTGGCCCTTATTTTTGAATTTACGGAGTTTAAAGTGCGGAACCCTGCAAATGGTTTCATTTGATGAGAAAATAACGGGGAAAAAATAAAAATGGAGAAAAAAAATGTTTTAAAACGCGCCTCAAAAAGCCTAAAGTTCCGAGCGTGGCGTGCGAAGACGCGTTTTTTCGTCATTTCGCGAATTTTTTTCCTCCCTTTGAAATGTTCCTACGGCTTTAAAATTTCTAGAGGTTATACACGGTTTAGAGTAATTTACGAAAAAAATAATGAAAGTTACATCGCTTACCTTAAAATGCTCTTTTATCCCCATCAAAGAAGCCACGTCGAGCGATTTTGCCGATTTTCCCCTTAAATCGTTCATTTGCATGTTAGCCCCGAATTACCTTGAAATCGACTTGTTTTACAGCAGCTGAACAGAATTGATTATTTTTGGTTTAAATGACTCGGCTGACACTCTACTTCTAGAATCTGAAGAATTTTTGCTTTTGACTCTTCAAAAAATTTCGTTCAGGCTAACCGTGCCGAGAGAATGTTATGAACAATTATAGACGAAATCGCATGATGTGGCCAGTTTGAATAGGAAAAGGGAGCATTTTAAACGTAGCGAGATAAATTTTGTTATTTTTCTAGTAATTGACTATAAAGTATGTGACATTTCAGAAAATTTCAAAACCATAGCAACAATTTAAAGGTGGAAAAAAGACACGCCGTGCGGGGAGATTGTAAGGGAAAATCGGCAAAATCGCTCGACGTGGCCTCTTTGATGGGGATAAAAGAGCATTTTAAGCTAAGCGATGTAAATTTCATTATTTTCCTCGTAAATTACTCTAAACCGTGTATTAACCAAAAATTAGATATTTTAGTGTTACTATCTTGATTGCGTGCGAGTTAACCGTTGCCAAAAGTGCCATTTTTTCGGTGGGACGCACCACGCGTGAAGGCTTGAAATTTTTTTGGTAACAACTGGGTATATTACCTACATTTCAAGGCAAAAACAAAAAATGTATGTGTCCTCATTTTTTTTAAAACCGCTAAAAGCTGAAAAAAATTGGAAATTGACGATTTTTACGAATTTTTTTAGGGGTCTAAATAAGGTACGATAAATTTGATTTTTTTACCCAAGAATCTGGCTGGTCTGATGTGTACTTGGTGAAATTTTGGTGCATTTTTTTCGAAAATTGCGGGAGATATGAAATAAAACGTGAAAATACCCCAAAATTCCCCGAAAAATGGGTTTTTCGGGGCTGGAGGGGGGGTGGTTGGGGGTCAGGAGGGTAAAATTGCCCAAAACCATGTTTTTAGGACCTCCTGAAAGGGTTTAGACCATTAAATTCAAAATCCGTGAGGAGAGGCATTTTGGTGCCCTTACCCAGGGATACCTTTTACACTAACCCCATTTGATCGCGTAAAGGGCTCACTATTCGACAACAGCGCACATATCTTTTTAATTAGTCAAATACCAGTGGTTTCCGGTACTTCCGGTGGGCGAGAATTTTCTGTTTTGATGATCAACAGGTATGTTAACAATAGCACCTTTTATTTCCCAGAAATTTTCAGGGCTGTTCTGTAGGTAAGGCAAATTTTTCCCACTTACGTTCCTAATAGTACAGACTATTTGTCACTCTGTTCATTACTTACCTGTAAGCCTAACCGAGGTGTCACTTCAAGTTGAAACTTTGCCTGGAAGTTAACCTTGCCATAAGCTTTCATTTGAGCCTTGTCCCGTTGACCAACTCGGATGTACTAGTCTGTTGAACCATGATGATCAATAATGTCTCGATTATAGCACATGATACCCTTTAATTGGAAAAGTTGAAGAAAAATTTGATAAAAGAAAATTGCCTCAAATGTGGGAAGTGCTCCAAGTGTTTTTCTATTATGTGAACTGTTTGCATACGAATGTCAATGGCAGTGCGTGAAAAATCTCCTACCTGGTAATTCCAATATGGAATGAATAATGTAGAATCCCTGTGATACATAGTGTCCATGTTTTTAAAATAATTCTACACTATTATGAGTTTTATGAGGTATTGCCGACTAAGAACGGATGAGTTCGAAAAATCATCCCCCTTTGGACTTGAGATTTTCTGGATTAGGGGTGGTTTTAGAGTAAAGGTGAATATATTTTGTTTTGAAGGCCACGACGAGACGAGTTTTTTGAGGTATCACCGACTAAGATCGGACGAGTTCGAAAAATCATCCCCCAGTAACCTTGACGTTACTGAACTAAGGGATGGGCCGATTTTCACTAAAAATGAAACTTGATGTAGACCTAGTAGCAGTGAAGAACCATGCTTCGATTCGTTTTGATCGTATCGATAGTTCCGGAAAAAACTGTCGCAAAGGCTTGTTAGATCCCAGTTATTTATATAGGGTGATCCAAAAGTCCCTTCCACCCCCTCTAACTTTTTACCTAATTGAGATAAAGATTTGAAACTTGGGGGATATTCCTAGGTCAAAGGGAGTTACTTTTTGGCCCCCCTAAAATTTTCAGGGGGCCCCCCTTTTGGGGGCAACGGCCCCAACTTTTAAATTTCAAATGGGAAGACCCCCTTCGGATAGCTCGTTCGAAAGAGCATAAGAAAAAAAAACTTTTCGCGCAAACCTGAAGTCAATATCTCAAACCGTTTCAAAATGGCGGCCGGTTAAAGTTCACAATGGCCGAAAATTTACACCGGTTATTTGTCGATGGATTTGCGCGAAAATCGATATGTAGAGGTACTTTCACACGAGAAAAACGAATTTGACGTTAGATTTTCAAAAAATCCAAAATTTCCAAAACGGCCGCCGGTTAAAGTTCAAAATGACCAAAAATTGATTTTTTTAGAAATCTAAGTTCAAATTTGTTTATCTTCTGCCAAAATACTCTCAAATTCCAAGTTTTAGGCAAATCCATCAGGAAAAAACCGAGGTGAAAATTTTCGGCCATTTTAAACATCAACCGGCGGCCATTTTGGAAATTTTGGATTTTTTGAAAATCTAACGTCAAATTCGTTTTTCTCGTGTGAAAATACCCCTACATACCGATTTTCGCGCAAATCCATCGACAAATAACCGGTGTGAATTTTCGGCCATTTTGAACTTTAACCGGCCGCCATTTTGAAACGGTTTGAGATATTGACTTCGGGTTTGCGCGAAGAGTTTTCTTTTTTTTAATGCTCTTTCGAAGGAGCTATCACAAAGGGGGTCTTCCCATTTGAAATTTGAAAGTTGGGGGCCGTTGCCCCTCAAGGAAGGCCCCCTGAAAATTTTAGGGGGGCCAAAAAGTAGCTCCCTTGGACCTTTGAATATCCCCCAAGTTTCCAATCTTTACCTCAATTAGGTTAAAAGTTAGAGGGGGTGGAAGGGACTTTTGGATCACCCTGTATATATATTCCTTTTTTATGATCTTCATTTTTCAACTCAGGGCTTCAGGATCGACGCTCTTTGAGCAAAAATTCCCGAAAATTACGAGGTCGTACCGTCTGCAATAGGTAGACACTTCTTCAAAATCTACCTAAAAGCTTGCGCCCAGGAGAGTTTCCAGACAGGAAAAATTCAAGCTCGCTTATGAGTCTCGCCAAACGGTAGAAAGTAAGTTCTTTCATTTCACATGAAATCACTGAAGGTTGCTTGTATCAATAGGACTCTGTTAACCCTCCAAGTGCATTTGACGTGGCATCAATTAGAAAGTTTTATTCGAGAGGCTCAATCTGGCTACGCCCACTTATCTATATGATTGCCTGACCCTCCCACGGGGATAAATGTCCCATTAGCCGGCCATTCTCATAACTTTCCCAGTAGCCGAGTGGTCAAGGGCTTCGCCTACGGCGCCTGAAAGCGGGGTTCAAAAATTCGACTTAACCCATATTTTTTTCGATCAGCTGATATTGCACCTTTTATTGTAGCAAGTAATTGCGGGTGGGGAGGGGGGGGGGTTGGGGGCACGTGGGATTGCAGTACCTTAAAATGTAAGTGGGTAAACCAGATATGTAACACACGGATTCTACATTATTCATTCCAT